ACGTTGGACTTGATCTCCAAGATCCCTTCCAGCCTGAGCTATTCTGTGACTGCTAGGGAGATGCTTGTGTTAGAAGAGTGATTGCCCTTCTTTGATTAATTTGCCTTTCATTAGGCTGAGGGTGATTAAGCAGGGGTTGTCCCAAGAGTAAGCTTATTTTTTAAGGTGGGATAGGAAAAGATTTTCGGTGTTCTTGAGGTCTTGGCTCTGCTGTGATAAAAAATGAGTACATATGGGGTTGCCAGGATATTTTGGTCCTCCTAGAGAGAAGGTGGGGGGCAGGTGTCTCTGGGGAGCAGAAAAACATTCTTGCAAATACTGAGCCTACATTAAAAAAACCCTCAAGCTGTTGGGAGATGGGAAGCAAGGTGTCTGAGTCCTTGGACGTGGGCAAGGCTTGAAGTTCAAACACGAGGTAGGGGAAGGGAGTGAAGTCTCCATCCCTGCCATCCATCCCAGACAGGTTTGTGTGGGATGACATGAGACCCGCAAGGCACATGGGTGTGTTTGGAATGGGTGGGTGTGATTGGAGTGTGCAGGTACTTACACTTCACCGCTCTGAAATACAGATATGTTGATGAGAGCAGCAGGAGAAAGATTAGGAAATTGAGCTCCAATCAAATGTACCATGTGACCGGGGAAACTTCTCTGGGATGTCCTTGCTGCAATGCCCTAGGGCAAGGGAGCTTCCCTGTTTCTCCATGGGTCCAAAGCAAAGCATGTCTTAAAAGGCAGCAGGGAAAGCTGCCAAGTCAGAATAAGTGAGCCAGCAGGTACTGAGCTAATGTCTCTGCTTCCACATTCCCCAGGGACCAGTGTGCACCAACTTGGGTCTCAAGCCTGGCCAGCGCCTCACTGTCAAGGGGAAAATTGCACCAAATGCCAAGAGGTGAGTTGTGCTGAGCTGCCCAGGCATGGCCAAGGCACCACACTGAGGGGCCTGCAAAAAGTGATGGCAAAAGGACTCTGTCCCTCGGGTAGAAGAGGAGAAGGGGTTAACGCCAGTAGTGCTTCCAGTGAGTCATCACCTAATGCACATTGCAGACACAGTACTGCCATGGGGCTAAGCCAAAGCAGATGTGAGGTTCCAGCTGCACACGCTGGCAGTGACCACATCCTCTCTAGTGCAGGGTAATGGAAATGGAAGCTGTGGCTATACTGAGATTTGGGTTGAGATCGTCTTCTCCACCACATCCTCTCCCCTGCACAAAGATCACCAGGAGTAGGGACACTTATGGTGCTCCGGTGGATTTGCCTCTGACATGATGGTGGGGAAAGAAGGAAGGTGGTGAGCAGGCAGGTGGGCTTAAGTGGAAATGCACCCCTAAATGTGCAGGGACTGGGGGGGCTGGGTTTCCCAGCGGAGCCTCTGCAGCAGCCCCCAGCCCTTGAGCAGGTCTGTGGCTGGGGGGCCCCTTTGCAGGTAAGGTGGAGCTGCTGTAACTAGCAGAACTAGCGGTGTTCCAGGAAACATGTCCCAGCACTTCCCAGTGCCTTTGAAGTTTGATACTGTCTGATTGAAGCCTCCCAGGCTTTCTCTTGCCAAGCAATATGCCTCTTCTCATCTGGGTAAGAGGCCTGAAGGCAAGGTGGACACTAGACTAGGAAACTTCCTCCAACTGCTGTTGCAGATACTTTGGAATAGCTAATGACATGGTAAATATTGCAGCTGCCTGCAGGATGGGGAGAAGGCAGTGGCTGTCAGGCAGGATGCAGCATTAGCTAACTATTCAGGACTGAAAGGAAATCTATGGAAAGCAACTGACTCCTTGGGAATTGGTTTGGGTCTATAATAACTCTGTTCAGGGCACAGTGTACGGAACCATTCTCTTGTTAAAAGCTCATAGTACTGATTTTATATTTTTTTTAGCTGTATTGATGTCTGCATTTTTTATTTTTCTTTTTCTCCTCTGCAGCTTTGTGATGAATCTGGGCAAGGATGCTACCCTCCTTGGACTTCATTTCAATCCCCGTTTTGATGCTCATGGCGATGTGAACACCATCGTGTGCAACTCAAAGAAGGTGGAAGAGTGGGGTGCAGAGCACAGGGAGACTGTCTTTCCTTTCCAGAAGGGGGGCACAGCAGAGGTGAGGCATGCATATGTATATTTATATATATGTATACGCACTCTCCGTACATGCTCTGGTGAAGGGAGGGTGTTTGGGGCAGGACACCCAGCTGCAAGGACTGTCTCAGGGCTGACTGTACAGAAGGTGGCTGGCTTCTCCTGCTTGGCCAGTGCCATCACTCAGAGCTCTGGGCACTGATGGAGGGTGGGGATCAAATGTGCAAGCTCCATCTGGCTCAAAGATGGAGAGCAGGGAAGGGGCACCTCTTGGGAGACCAGAATAACACCCCTGCTGTTGGTGAACAGGTTATTCTACTGAGCTTGTTCACCCTGTGAAGCAGAGGGTGGCACAGCAGTGCTCCAGAGGGGAGAGGCTTGAGGAAACTTTCTCTAACTTTTCCATTTGCCTTGCAGATCACTTTTGGTGTCAACCAAAATGATGTGACAGTCCACCTGCCAGGCCACCAGTTCACGTTCCCTAACCGGCTTAACCTCTCTGTCTTTGACTACTTTGATACACAAGGGGACTTCACACTCCAGTCCCTCAGCTGGGAATAACTTCCTCTGACACCTCCATCTCAAAGATACAGAAAAAACAATCAATAAATAAGAGTTTTGGTGTACTAAGTCTGAAAATCTAATATTTTTAATATTGTAAGTCCTCATGGGTTGGGGCACCTTGCTGGGAGTGGGTGGATAGGGGTAGCCAGTTTTGCTTGAGTACCATAAGTGGATGCAATTGTCCCAGCCTTGGTCCTTGAAAGTCATGGATGGAGAAGAGGATTAAGGCTAAAAGCCTGGGAAGACAGAAGGTTAAAAGTCCAAGGAGAGTTGCAGGAGGAGGTATTTGGGCTAATTGTCACTGGGGGTAGAGTAAAAGCATCCCTTAAGTGAGGACAACTGCTGTTGAGGTCTAGACTGACACCTTACACTGCCTGAATAAATTAAGTGTACCTAAACTAAGCACTCCTGGCTGACATCAGACAGCGCTGAGTGGCTGTGCTAGGTGAGCCTAGTGGGGCATGGAGTGAGGGGAAAGTCCTCGACTGTGCTAGTTTTGACTGAAGCCTTCTGTAGAGCCTGGTCCTACTCCTATGTCTGTTTGGGACCTCTTACTGCTACTGACAGTAGAAAAGCTGCCTTGCTGGGTGTGGCAGAGCATGTAGAGTGTTCCTCATTCAAATCCTATCTTCCAGTACCTGCAGGAGCACAAAGAGTTGTGCTGTGGCACGTGAGGGCAGTAACGTGGAGGTGTCTGGTTTTATTCTGCCCCTTGTGCTTTGCCTGTTCCATCCAGAGCTGAGGGAGGCAGCGATGCCCAGCTGGAGCGTGGGAGGCCAAGGAGGTGTGCACTATGCTTTTGTTCCCATTTTACTTGGCCCAAATGAACCTGAGCGCTTCTCAGTCTAAACTGAGGCTAGACTCCAAGGAGTCTGAGGGCAGTCAGGCATGTTTGATGTTACTGCATAGCTGCCTCGGGGACTCTCTCAGTCTAATGCTGCCTTGGCACTGCTGTTGAGCATGCTGTGCCTGGTGGGCATAGGAAAGGTGGGATCTGCCCTATCCACAGTGCGCAGCAATCACCAGGTCAGTCTGGGATGAAAGACTTGGCCACAAGCAACACAAAGCACTAACAATTTCATGTACTACAGGATTCCCTGCAGGCCTGGCTGGGCTAATTCCTCACATTAAGCACTTGCAGAGCAGCTGGAGAACAGGGACTTTCCCCTACAGCAGCCATACCTGCCGTTCTTATTTCATAATTCATGAGGTTCTGACAAGTCCTAGGTACTCATGCAGAGAGAGGCTGGGCTGCTAGGAATTTTGGGTCTGAGGAGGAAGAGAGATGAGAGTTTAGCTGAAAGGTAAGAGCACTTGGGGTGTATGAGCAACTTGAGGCTCTGCAGCTGGATCTTTCTTGAAGTCCTGTGTTGCCCAAAGCCCATCAGCTTTGGATGATCACATCACACTCTTTTTAGGGCTACATCTGTAACTGTAAACATGACATCAAGCATCCTGTGCATAGGCATGACAGGGGGACAGCATAGCTTGGGGGCTCTTCCCATGGGCTGATAAGGATGAAGCTATCCGTTCTGGAGAAGAGAGGTTCAGCAGTATGGAAATGAGCCATGCTAGGCTAGATGGTCTCAAGGCAAGAAACCTGGCTCAGTTTACACAGAGGTATTGACACAGTCTGGCAGACTGGGGTACACTTGGTGGCCCAGAAAACTGGGGATTTCCCTCAACCACAGCAGGGCAATGGTGCTGGTGAGGGTACCATGAACTGTCATGATGGACACAGAGGAGAGCTCTCTCTCCTTGCAGCTTCCTCTGCTGGGCTGATCTTTAAACCTGAGCAAATGTACTGGACTCCCTGGGCTGTACTACAGGGGAATCTCGCAATGCCTCTTAATTGCACTTGGCAATCTTTCTTTAGATTCTTCAAAGACGTTTTTTGCGATGGTTTCTGGAAGAAAGCTTAGTGGTAGCTTTACTACAGGAATATGAACCTGAGTGAGGTCTCCTGCTAGTGTGGCTGTTTCTTGAAGTGACTCACTGTTCTTGTGAAATCTATGACTCACTGTTGTTCTGACTTTGTTATGGCTTGGCCTGTTGCTAGCAAGGAGATGAGGGGTGGCAAAGGTTCCCCAGATATATAATTTAGACATATCGAAGCTGACTGCTCCCTTCCACCCACTCCCCAACCTTGTGCAAGGTGGAGGCTGATGTGTGAGGGCTGAAGGATCTGAGGATGGAGTCAGGATCCCTGAGACAAGCACTCTCCCCACCCAGCTGAGCAGGATGAGCAGCCACGCAAAGGTGAAAGCACTGCAACAGCATTGATGGAGGACACTGCATGCTGGCATGGAAAGTGACACACTTTTATTTCTCAACATGACCCCAGCCAAAGGTCAGATGTTCCCAGCCTGCTCACCCCTCGCTTTCCCTCACAGACCCCGACAGCTCCATGAAAGCCAGGGGGATGCTGTGGCTTCCCGCAACCTGCTGAGAGGGTGCTGCAGGCCGTGCCGCGCCCGGCCCGGTGCGGCCATGGCTCCGGCGGTAGCTGCTGGCAAGCAGGGTGTAGAGGAAGGGGTTGACACAGCTGTTGCCATAGGCCAGGCAGGTGACACCGAAGTTAAGGTAGGCCTGGGCAGTGGGGCCGATGCCCAGCCCCTCTCCCTGGTACAGCCCGGCCAGCTGCCAGGCCCAGAAGGGGAGGAAGCAGGCCCAGTAGGCCACCACGATGGCAGAGATCCTGGAGAGGAGCTGCCAGGCAGGGGCCCGGCCGGCCACCGGCAGCCCCAGGTGCCAGGCCGAGGACCAGGCGGGTGTAGACGATGCCCAGCACGGCACCGGGCGCCAGGACGCTGGTGGTGAACAGCACGGTCAGGTAGAGCCGGAAAGCTGATGGCGTCCAGGTGGGGACGCAGATGCGCTTGTGGGGGCCGTCCCCCTCCCGCAGCTGGGTCATCACCATCATGGGGGCAGTGAGCAGGAGCGAGAGGAGCCAGAGGATGGCGCTGGCCAGTTTGCGGTAGGCGTTGCTGGCCTGCCTGGCCCGCAGAGGCCTGGCCACCGCCCAGTACCTCTCCAGGCTCATGGCGGTCAGGAGGAAGATGCTGGCATGCATGGTGAGGAGGTCCAGGCCAAGCAGAAGCCTGCAACCCACATCCCCAAAGAACCAGTCGTGGGTGAAGTAGGTGCAAACCACAAAGGGGATGGTGGAGAGGTACAGGAAGTCAGCCAGGGCAAGGTTGATCATGTAGACTCCCAAGGAACCTGCTGAGCAGCCTGCCACCCTGCCAGAGGCCACTGCCACTGTGTAGATGTTCCCCACCATCCCAGTGAGGCACATGGCCAGCAGCACTGCACCCAGCGGCCCTGTGACCAGGCTGTCCCCTCCCAGGACATTGCTGTCATCATCCCCACCACTGCTTTCCTCCAAGAAACTGCCACCCTTGGGATCCTCTCTAGGACTTGGGCTGATGAGAGAAGGGTTGTAAGACATCTTTGGGTAAGCTGAGCAAAAGCAAATCAAACTATCAAAGACCTGTTCCTTCCTCCTGCCTTCTGCCCTTGCTGTACAGAACACGTCTGTCCTTAACAGCAAAGCAGCCAAGGAAAGAATGGGGAGAGTTCATCAGACATAGTCAGGATGCTCCAGAGAAGTCTTTTCCTCACCTCCAGCTGCCCAGTCCATTTTGCTGATGTTGTCCATCACAAACTCTGTCCGGTTGTTCTCCTTAACCATGAAAGAGCCAAGAAAGGGACATTGCCTTTTCCTTCAAGACCAGTACGTGCAAGATAACCTCTGCCAGCCAGGAGGAAATGTCTCTTCTTCACTAGCTCATCCTTTGCTGCTTCTCCAGAGCTTGCTGGGCCCACAGAAACAGTGGATGAACAAGCAGATTTCTGCTCCCAAGTCTGTGTCAGCTCAGCTCAGACAGACTTTGGAGAGCCCCCACGAGAGCCCCGCTGAACCAACCCCCTGAGAGCTGCCTTGACCTCTGCACGGAAGAACGTGCCTGACTCACAGCTTCACACACCGGTGTGAATACAGGTCCCAGTTTATACTGGGCTTTTAGCCACTAGCTGAGGAGCCCTTCCTCTTTCTGGCAGACATACTTTCTTCCCCATATCTTCCTGCACCTTTATCCTGCTCTGTCTTCCTTCTTGTTCTTGTTTCCCTTTCTTTTTCCCATTTCACCTTCATGGTTGTCCTCATTTGTGACAGGAGACAACTGAAAGACAAGACTCCATAATATGGCAAGGAGGGTGGAAAGCATCATGCTGTGGCTTTAGAAGGGAAACAAGGGCCAGCCCTGGAAGTGCAATAGGCAGGGAGCAGCCACACAGCTCTCCCTAGCCAAGCCAGACTGAAAGAACCTGTCCCCCGCTCCCTCCCAAGGATGTCAGGGCCCTTTGAGGTTTGAGTATTGTGGATGTAGTCCCCAGTTTGCAAGCAGGCCCACCAGATTGTAGGATATCTCACATTTTCTCTCCTGGCCCTTTTCCACCTTTGCCTCCAAGTCAGCAACAAGCTCCTGAAGACTCAAAGGACTGGATATTTTAGACTCTGTCTTTCCTTCCTCTCCACAAAGACCATCCTCCCCCTGTAAGCTTTCCCCCTCCTTCCCTCGGAGCCCCAGGAAGCTGCCTCGCCTCAGAGCAGGGAGCAGAAGCCCATTACGTGGCACCACCGCCTTCTAGCGAGGCACCAGCACACGACACCCATGCCCGGTGCTAGACTGCCCTTTCCTCACTCACATCTGAGCCTCGCTAGACACGGTGGGACAGAATTTGCGGAGAAGAGACAGACGTGCCATACAACATGTACTCTCTGTTAGTTCAGGGTTTCAGGCCATTCCAGCCACACTCTTTTGCATCATCGGTGTATTAGCTCCATTGTGGCTGAGTCAAATGCCTCAGCAGTGGTAATTCAGCAGCAAACAGGAGGAGGAGGCATCCCATCAGTACTCCCCGCACTGTGCAATGACCTTTGGTTTTCAGGGAAATCGTGCTCCAAACTGGGAGAGATCAGGAAAACGCAGTGAAAATATACTTCTAGGTGGATATTTCCATTGCACCATGTCAGCAGGGTGAGTGATGCTTCTTCTCATCCAGGAAGCTGATGCTTCCAACAGCTTGTGGTGGTCTTGGCGCAGTGTGGGGTCCCCAGAGAAGCAAAGGGGCACCGTGAGTCTGCCTTTTTGGTTCTGATGGGAATAATCACAGTCCACATGCCCCAGGAAATACAATGAACTGCTATGGCTTTTTGGTTCATCATCTCTGCTTTCTCTTTCCAAAAACCAGCCTCATACTTCAGCAGTTAATAGGTCAGCTAGTTTAGGAAATTAAAATAAATTGCAATGTGATTTCTTATTTATTTCTTTAGGAGCTAATTAAAATACTGGTTGTCTCGTTATTTCCAGCTAGCTCCCCTTAACACATGAGATACCTTCTCTCACACTGCCTGAGTAAAACTGCAAATGTATCAGATACTAGTCACCAGCAGAACTCAGCTACTCCTTCCAGCATGTGAAACACAGCTCTCCCAAGAGAGCTTTAAGAGATGAGTTTTAAGACATGAATCATGGGTTGATTTAGTGTTTTAGGCTAACTCTTACTAATAGAGACTTCCCCTGTTATACTACTGCATACAATGATATGTATGTGTGATATACAAGATAAACATATGCAATGTGCAGGTCAGAATGAAAGTGCCAGGCCTTTGACATACAGAGAATGAGGGAGCAGAGATCCATGTATTACTATATTCAGCATCAACCCTGAAGTAGTAGAGACAGCAGACTCTGAACTCTATACATGTTATCAGCTTCTCCTTGCAAGACCCAACCCCTCACCATTTTAACAAGTCTGGCAGCTGATCTTCAGTGGCATGAATACACCTCAGGGTATTTTCCCTAGGGCAGCATTTCACCTCCATCACTTTTTGTTATGTGTGTATATAATGTATACACATACCCAAATGTATATTCACATTATTTTTGAGACGATCTCTTAATCTTCTCTGAAGCATTTGGTGAAAGGTCTGCACACAAACGTCATCTGAAGAAGCTTTCAAGCCCATACATGGCAGAAAGAAACAGGCCTCAGATTTGGCTGTTAGGTTACATCTTTTAAGTGACCTTTCTCAACCACTGCACTACCTGATCAAATATCTAGATGTTTCACATCTCTGTCACCAGCAGGTATGATATTTCTTGTAAAGGAACAGTCTCTTTTAGTCCAGCAGCCCCTGTAACCAGCTGGGGTGCCTGGCTCCAGCCAGTTTTCTTGCATCAGGTAGTTGGCTGTCTGCAGTTTCATGCAGGAGTGATGCTAGGTCCCACGCCCAAGACAGTAAGTGCCAAAGTTTTCAAGGCCTGACTGACAGGCAAGACCTGTCAACATGCAGTCAGATCACAGCAATTTAACAGGGACAGGCTGTACTGAGGATTCAGATGCACAAAATCTTGCCTTGAAAAGAAGCAGCTTAATCGGGCCCTCAAAACAAAGTGGATATTATATGGGGGCAAAAGTGCTTCAAAGGGTGCTCCAAGAGCACTGTGTTTCTCTGATGTCAATCTCCTCTCCTGTCCTGACAGCAACCCAATAGGACCAGGTAGAGTTGAGTCATAGTGAGATTCCTGCATGGCTTCCTAGGACTTAAACTTGAAGTAGGCTTCAACTGTAGTGAAGAAAAAAGGAGGTGCATTAGGGCAATGCCCTGAATGGGAGTGGCAGGAGGGAAAGGAAACAGCATCCAGGCACTTACTTGCATATTCCTGTGGTGTCATGGCCTGGTTGATGACACTAGTGAAGGCTCTGATCCACTCCAGCTGGTCAGTCTCTGTCTCACAGGTGAAGAGGTATTCCCGGTCAGGGGTGACAATGGTGATGCCATAGTGCCAAGAGAAGTTGCCCTGTGTCCCTGAAGGCAATCCCTTCTGGACACTATATCCATTCTCTCCACTGCCCACAAATACTTCACCCTTAGCAAAGGCGTCCTGCACATCGGGAGGGAAAGACGGTGATTTATGGAATCTCAGAAGAACAAGTGCACCTAAGGACAGGAGGAGAGTGTGTGAGGATCAGGGATGTAGCAGCAAAAGGTTTTGGAGGTGATCAGGGGATTCAGAAGAGCAGTGAGTCTATGCTCAAAGGCAGTAGTGAAAAGGAAAAAATAAGGACATGAACCTCAAGAGGTCTGAGAGAGGAACTGATGCTCTCACCTCTCTGTGTCACCCTCCCATCACCACCTTTACACTGCTGCCCTCCCTGTTCCCACTGTTTGCAGGCAGCGCAACAAACACACAAAGCATGTGATGAACTAAAAGGGATGGAAAAGGGAAGACCTGGAGACCATTCATAGCAGCTGGGAAACCTGCAAGACACCCTTACTGCAGAGCAGAGACCCAGTTTGCGCTTTGACCCTGCCCTCAGCACCGTTGCCTGCAGCTGCCCGGCGGTCTCATCTCCCTCTCACCAAAGGATCCTTGAAGTACATGAGCCTGCGGTGATCCAGCGTGAACCAGCGCTTCTTGAAAGCCTCCCTCTGCTGTGAAGGGAAGAGGTGACATGTGTGAGGGGACAGTGCCCTCTGCTGCGAGCAGTGCGAATGGATACCCCAAACTCATCCCAACCGCTTGAAGCAAGCCCCTGCCTTAACAGCAACCTCCTCCTCGCCCTTTGTGAGCTGAGAGTAAGGGTCAGTATCCAGCTGCTGTCCCCAACTCCTGAACTTCGATGAAGGACCCCAGAGTGGAGACAGGAGAAATCTGGACACTAAATACCTGTAAGGTCACTCACACACAGACACATGCAGAGAGATCTGTCGCTCTGGGAGAAAGCAGGGACTCTGGCTTCATCTACTTTCACATGTGTCCTTCCCCTTCCTTTTATTCTCCCCTCCCTTGGTGAACACACACTGTTCCCACGGGTGTCTAAAGAGTCAGGGGGAATGGGGAAACAGCAGGAGAAAAACATTGAAGTAGGGAAAGTCAGTGGTGCTCTGACAGGCCCCTGTTAGATTTTTTCTACCATAGCAGCTCACCTTGGGACCGGTCTTCTCCATGTACCCCTCCTTCAAGAAGTTTCTCGTCAAACGATTTTTAATCTGACAAAATGGCAAGAGTAACATCCACTTAGCTGGGCCTCTTTGCTAGTCATTTCCCTCCCCCACCCTTCTATTCCCCCAAATTCAGTCTCTTTCTAAATTTATATTTCCCAAACTGCCTAGCTAGGCATCACCTCTGTCTCCAAAATGCCCAGAAACAGCAGAGAGCAGCTGTTTTCTGACCACCACAGGCCCTTTTAAAAACACCTTCTCATCCTTTTATCTTTACCCTGCAATTTCCACTTCCGTACCTGGGGTTGTAACAGTAACTAATGAGCACTTTTATCACAAAAGCAGCAGGAGACTCAGGGCCTTACCTCATTATCGCTGGCAATGGGAAATGCCACCTTCAGGTAATGGAACTGCACAGAGCGGATGGCGTTGAACCAGTCCACTACCTCCTGAGGATGGAACAGGATAGGACAGAAAGCTTAGCCAGGGCAAACAGTGGGCCATCTAAATTCACCTAGCCGCACCCAGCCCTGTGTTAACTACGAACACAGCCAGCTCTCCCTCTGCAGCATCTCCCTCACATGCACACAGCCAGCACGGCTGCCCCATTCCCCACATGCACAGGCAGCACACATTCTATAGAACTCCTCCCACACAAACCAACTCAGCCAGTGCTCCTGCCCTGCTCCCTGCAGCAAAACTCTCTTGCAGATACACAAACACAGAGCCAGAACCCCCACCCTATTACCTACAGCAACTCTCACACACTCCATCCTACCCATGCTTCATACTATTTAATATCAGCAGCTCCTCAATGCCTTTGCAGTCTTTGATGCTAAAAACAGATACCTTTCCACTTTCATGGTAGACAAATATATTCCTGGTCTTATTGTCTTTGAGATAGGTGATCTGCAGGCCATTGGGATTCCCAATCTTCTCTGGCTGGAATGTAGCATTGATGACATCTATTTTAACATTGATTTTGGGTTCTTTGCCCTGAAAACAGAAAGGCATTGATCATGCATGAGCAATCCTAGAAGGAAAGAGACCTGAGCTGCTGACTAAGTGGTGTAAGGCAGGGTCAGAGGCCTGATGCAGGTGGAGAACCTTGTACTTGGCTTTTTTAAACCTTCTGAGGTTCATATCAGCCCACTTCTGGAACTTGTCCAGGTTCCTCTGGATGACATGTCCTGCTTCTCCCTACCCTGAGCCATTCCCTCCCTTGTGACAGCATTTTAGCTCTTGCCCCACTCATTTCTGAGAGATGAATGAGCAGAAAAATAGCCCTCCTCAAGACCAACCAGAGAAAAGGTTTTTGCCGACTTGGTCCACAATGGGGTGATGCTGGTTCCAGGAATGGTGCAGGATTACACATCCAGGCAAATGGATAGGAGTTAAGTGAAAGTTCAGTCCTTTCCTCAGTAGTGAAGGAAGCACAAAGGGAGAGCATGAGGAAAAGTCACTCTGACAGCAGCAAGAGGACCCTTCTCCTTAGTGATATGTTTTGTTATCATCCCTGAGTTGGGATGAGCAGGGCACTCTCAGAAACATGTGTAAGAAATCAGAACATCTCTGTCACCCCGCTGCTCTGGGTGGAGTACACACTGAGGTGGGAGTTGACCACCATACTCACATCCTGCTTGGTGAAATACTTCAGACATCCCTCTCTCTCAGACAAGAGGAACTTGCGGGGTAGAAACTGCCCGTTGTCTCGACCTCGCTTCCAAAGGATGCCTTCCTTCACCCCTTGGAGCAGAAAAACCACTTATAACAGCATTCCCCCACAGGCATAGTAGGCATCAGAGAGCTGCATGCAGCCTGGGGCCCAGCCACCCCTCTGAGACAAAGAACATGATGGACTATTGCTGAGAATAAACTCTTCAGATGTTTCACCTCTGACTTACAACTAAAGATGGTGGTGTTCCCATGTTTGCAGTGCAGATAAGCGCTCACCAAAAGACACTCCGATGTTCTTTCCACCTCCTAGTCCTGCTCCCACTGCTACCTCTGTGCAAGAGCTGTCTCCTGTGAACACTAGAGTCTTGGTCCATGTAGACTCTGGTGTGGGACCAGAATTCTTCCCACTTGGCTCTGCAGGTTCCAATGCCCTTTGTCACAGGACTGGCTGTGCCATTTCAAGGACAACTGCCATGGTTAGAGGGAGTGGCATGCAGAAGGACAGATATTCCTTATTGTAGATGTCTGTCTCCACCAAGACATCAAATGCCTTTGAAAACTGCCACCTGGTAACACCAGGCTTTTAAGCTACCTGTGGCAGTGCCAGCCTATGTTGTCCACAATTTAACACCCCCAAAACTATGCCCTGTAAGTACCAGTTTGGTTCTCAGAAGTACATGTGAGATTTGCAACACTGACACCTCATAATGCTCAGAAGTTTCCAGTAAAGGCAACAAACAGGATGTTTTGATGCTGTGTTCTGCTCTTACCATCAGAATATGGCAGCTGTTTTCCCGGCTCAGTAAATTCTTTGCGTTCATATTTGGCCCGTATCCACTGTTCTCTCAGCACTCTATGGAGAGAGGTGACAGGTAGATCAGAAACAAACTAGAGGAATTAGGGGAACAGAGAATTGCCCTTCCCCCTTTTCTTCTGTATGCAGCAACTTACTGGCAGTCATTGAAGGTTGGCTGGTAATAGTAAATAGGGATGTGAGCTTCATATATGGCTTTAGTCACAGCATTCCCATGCTTGGCCAAAAACTGCAGAGTTAGACAGAGAGTTAGTGCCTTGCCTTTGATGCAGACTCGTGTTGGACCTTTTCTTTCCTGACCCACTACAGGGCTAGATGCACATCAGACTCTAATGGAGCATTCTCTTTCCCCTCCATTGCAACATGCCAGCAGTCTGGCTGCAGGAAGGTGGGTCTCAAAGGTCTTATCTACTCTCAGACATTACACTGATTGCACCTGAATCAACAGAGTGCCATAAATGTCACTTCCATAAGGCTGGGTGCACACACGTTCAGTGGATTTGCTGCCATGCACCACATCTCCTGGAGAGCTCAACAACAGCTCTGCAATGCCATCTGGAAGGACATTCCAACCTCTTCCAAAGAGCAACAAGACACAGATTATTTTCTTTGGATCTCCAGAAAATATTTTCAGTCCCCTGAAGGTTAGTGAGTTGAGGGGGCTGTAACAGGGAGAAGACAAGTTCTCATAAGTGCCATTTTTCTCAAGAGATCATATTATAGCTGGAAACTTTTCTCAGAGAATGGAATTGCCCAAGATTTTCCCTTTGGACTGCTGAAATCAAGAGACATTGAGGCTGGATAGTCTTGGCAAGTGGAAAACAAGTAATCTGAAGCAACAAAGACCCTAAGTCTTAGTAAGATACATTACAATAGCTCTAGGTTTGTCATAAAGTAACAGGACATGAGGAGACACATAAGGCAAGTGTATCCTCCCTCTCCCAGTGGGTTGTGGGGAATTATCCCTGATTATCAAGAGTAGAAAGGAGACTGATTAAACCAGATTACATTCCAACTCTGTGAGGTCAAAGGACTAATTTTGCCAGGACTAGTGTATAGTGTAGCCCAAACCATCTGCCACATCCATGGGGATAAAGATCTCACCTGCACCTGAGCATCATCCCAGTAGTCCATCTTCAGGGATTTGACTTTGCTGATGCTAGGGATGTTGCGGTGAATTCCTGAACAGCTGAGACATATAAAGACACCCAAAGTAGAGGATGCCCAGTCAGGATCTGAGAATATGGAAAAGGGTATAACTAAAACTGGTGAATATTCCTGGGAGGTATGCCTCACCTGAGAATGTAGTCCTGAGAAACAGGGAGTTGCTGACCACAGTTTCATCCAAGCTGAGTAATTAATACCCAAGGCGTGGATGCCAGTCAGGAAAAAAACACAGCTATTAGTCCCTCCTTCCCCGTTCCAATCATTTTCACTACATTTTTAATGACTTGTATCTTGAAAAACTCCAAAGTGGTCTGTGAACTCCCTTTGTGTAAAGGATCACCCAGACAAAAATGAAACCACCTTTGGGAAAAGATCCCAGGAGTTGTTTAGTGCATCACAGCAAACGCCTAAGAGTGTTTAGCTCAGAAGTGGAAAACGTCCTTGAATCTAAAACTCTCCTGGAATAATTAAATAGGGCAAAATGGTATTAATTTTCACCGTCTTAATTTGGCTTGGGTGGTACACTCCTTTTGGAGGTGTATGATGGGTGTTTTTAGCAGCACTTGTAGGGCTTCAAACTGGGTACCCTTCTGAGAAGGCAAGCCCTTCAGTAAATGAAATTTCCTAGGCAACTGTGGCAGGCTGTCAGTTCAGAGCTGAGTCATGGCAGAGACAATGCGCTCCTGAATCATGCCTTCTTTCTGGAGAAGTTAGGATTTCACTGGAAGCTTTCCTGTCAGGTCCTGACTGGGCATGACCTTGATTTGCATTTGAGATCTGACATGACTACAACCCACAGTGCTGCAGCTATGCAGCCCCTGCTAATCTGGCACTCCCACATCCCTGTCCTTCCCACGAGTGCTATGGCAGCATCTTCTCCCTCCTCCCTTGGCAACTCTCCTCCAGGGAGAAGAAATGAATACCCAGAGCAATGCCTCCCTCCCTTTTCTCTCCACCCCAGGCTCCCGGGCAGTCCAGATAGCCAGCACTGAGTGGCTGCTAGAGATCAGCCCCAGCTCCCTGCTTCCAACTCTTCCACCAGCATCCTTCGGGGACTCACCTGGCTTCCCGCAGTCCGCACACAAAGAGTTCTCTGCTCTTTTCCACACTTCCTTCAGGGCCTTCATGCTCCGCTCGTTTCCTCCAGCCATCACCTCGGAATGGTGTCCCTCCAGGCAGGGCAGGACAGGGCCAGGAGAGCAGCTGCCTGCACTTTATGCACCTGTAGGCCAACCCGCTTCCTTATCCAGGAGAGAAGGAGAAGCTCTGGCAGACAGAGGGAAAAGAGGAAGGCAAGAGAACCTAAGGTTAAGGTTAATGGAAAGGGTACAGAGGCCTGTCGGTGCACCTGAGCCGGCTGAGAACAGGCAGGGGCAGAGACTGGAGGCTGAAGTGCACCCAGTCTGTGTGAGGAGTGAGGAGAAGGACGAGACCTGCCCCCATGGGCGTGGAGGGAAGTGCAGCAATTAACCACAGAACTGGTTTTTCCGCATTTCTTCTGGTGAAAGGACAGGCCAGGAAAAGAGCGCAGGCAGCAAGCAAGCTGATAAAGGAAAGCTGGCTGTGGACAAGTGACTGCCAGGCTGTGGCAGGACTCCTGTCAGGACTCGTCATGCTCTGTGGGTTAGGGGGACTGCCCCCACAACACTTCAGAAACTTCTACCGAAGTCAGCTGGCCACCACACAGGCATCACACCCATTTTTAAGGTGAGAACAGGGGAGCAGTAAAGGTTCAGGAGCTCCGCCAGTGTCACTCTAGGCCATCAGAACACGGCAGTCTTGATGCACCCACCAACTCATGCCAGTACCTCTCTCCACCACTACAGCAATCTTGGCTGTCCAGCCATATGCTGCGACTTGGACACAGCATCAGAGCCAGGACCCATCTCCACAATTGCCCTACCCGGATAAGAGGAGCAGCGCATGCTAACACCAAGAAATGACAATAGCTTGAAATAAACTCAGAGCTCTATTGAAGAACTGCAGACGTTAACTATTCGGAAGAGTGACATTTATTAAAGAGACGTAGAGGCAAAACACTCTGGAGCGCCAGAACGAGTCTCGGGCTGTGAGATCGGGTGCTACACTGCCGCGTTCTCCGCACAAGGCAGCGCCACAGAATCTTTAGCTGGGAGGAAGCTGCAGAGGAGCGTAGCCCGAGGCTCGCACGCCCGAAGCAGAGCGCAGGCCGGGCTCGGGGCCGGGCACAGGCGCACGGCAGGCCCGGGGGCGGCGGGCAGAGCTGCCGGCGTTCCGGCGGAAGGGGCGGGCACCGGCAGCAGCGGCGTGGGACAGCCATGGGCCGCAAGAAGAACAAGAAGGGTCCGGGCGGCCGCGAGGGGCGGCTGGTGGTGACTTTCGACGAGGAGCGGCGGAGGTGAGGCCGGGCAGGAGCCAGGGCGGGAGGCGGGGAAGGAAGGCATCCCCCGGTCGCTAAAAGCCGGGCGGTTCTGTCCTCTCTCAGGGAGTACCTGACCGGCTTCCACAAGCGGAAGGTGGAGCGGAGGAAGGCGGCGCTGGAGGAGATCAAACGGAAGCTGAAGGAAGAGCAGAGGAAAATGAAAGAGGAGGTGAGGGAAGGGTCTCGTGTCCCCCCTCGGCAGGACGGGCAGTGAGCGGGGCAGGAGGGGCGGGCAGAGGCGCCGCATGACCTGTTTCTGTTCCTCAGCGGCACCAGGAGTATCTGAAGATGCTGAGCGAGAGGGAGGAGGCGCTCGGTACGTGCTGGGCCCTCGGTGGGAGGGAGGGAGGGAGGGAGGGAGGTGGGCGGCCGTGGTCCGACAGCCTTGACTGGGTGCTGAGAGCTGGGGCAGGGGCGCTCACACGCTGTCCCACACTGAGCTGCTCGGTGCTGTCGTGTTCCCCAGCAGTCTGAGCAGTGACCCCACAGCCCTCTGTCCCGGGAATCATGAGGGTTCTACAGAAAGGAAGGAGCAGGAGAGCATCTCTAAGGTGTCACCAGGTCCCCTTCCAGGGGGAAGAAGGAACTTGCCCTCCAGGCTTGCAGTGCCAAGCCCCTCTGCCCTTTATCCCTGCACGCCAGGGCAGGGTGTCACCCCTGCCCAGCATCAGGAACAAGTGAGTTTATCCCGTGAAAAGCTGGGCACTTTGCAGTGCAGGATGTCTTGTGTTCCCAGAGGAGGCTGATGAACTGGAGCACTTGGTGACATCGCGGACAGAGTCTGTGAGCATCGACCACCCAAACCACATTGTAACAGTGACCACCATCAGTGACCTGGACCTGTCGGGGGCACGCCAGCTGGGACTGACCAGCCCCGTGGTAAAGCCTCTTGCTACCTCTCTCTATCAGCTGTTCACACTCCTGGGGCTGCTGAGGTAGGGCTGGTGGTGCCTGAGTATGTCCAAGTCCTTGCAGCTGGCTGGGAACAGGGATGAAGAGGGAAACTCATAACTTTTATATTTTTCTACAGTTTAAATTTGGCCTCTAAAGAGAAAGAGATGTCCTGTGTGAATAGCTCACTTCAAACCTCCCTAGAATCCTTTGCTAGTCCCGATTGACCCCGGTTAAAGGAAAAGTGTTACTGGACTGGGTGGCAAAAATGTAATACTTTAAAAGCTGATACAAGACAAGCAGCAAGATTTCAGACTTCGCTGCATGGTCTGTCCTTGACCTCCTTCCTGTGTCCTGTTCAGAAATATTACTGTAAGCATGAGGAGGAATTTCTCTCTCCATAATCCTGTGTTTGGACCACAAATAAGGAAACCATTCAGTTCTGGCTGTGGTCACTTTTATTTTCAAAATACATGTAACTAAGACCTTGTATTTGTTTCATAGAGACTCTCAGGTATTGGTTGTGCTTACATTTGTAAGGTCATCTAATCTGAAAATCTGCTCAAAGAGGTCTTGATAGTAATTTAAGCAAAAGCCAAGACCTTTGGTTCGTTCAATTTTAAACTTCAATCACGTGGCCATTAAGATTATGCTGAAGTTTTTGAGTCTTGGGGTGGATTACTGTAAGACATCTCTGGTTGTGCCTTTCTGTGGGACTGCAGTAGGAAACCTAGACACTTGGACAGCGAGGGGTGTGAAGAATTAAAAAATCTTCACCTGTGACTAGTTAGTTCACAAAACAGGATGAAAGCAAGAAGGCAGTGGAAACGCCAGAATCACAGAAGTGCTTTATTTTTAAGGGAAAAACTGATGGATCTGAAGAAGAGAAAGGAGAAGAGGTGGTGAACAAGCCCGTGAGAACAATGCCCAAGAAGTCCAGAAACCCCTTCCTTTCTGAAAAGTACGTGCAGATTCCTTCAGGCCTTTGCTGCTGGGCTCTGGTAGCTGATGGGGATGGTGTGTGTTGCGGGATGCGCGGCGTGGCCGCAGGAGGGGCGCGGTGCAGCCCGGCCAGGGGCGGCAGGAGGCGCTGGCGGGGCGCGCCCCGCTCGGCTCCGGTGACCGAGCGAGGGCCGGGTGGGCTTCGTCCTCACCTCTTCCCTAGTCCTTCATCGCGGCACGTTCCGCAGCGTGCTTAGCTTGTCTCTAGGGCTGAAGGTCAGAGGCTCCTAAAGCTGAAAGCTCAGGCATTCTTAGCATTTTTCAGTATCCAGGTTTTACAGCTGCTTTGAGGGCATGGAGAGTTACTTTAGCTCTGTGGGGTCTGGGCAGCGCACTGCTCACAACATTCATTTTTGTTGTTACCGCACATGGAGGCTTGCAGGTTTCCCACATAGCTTAGAGGGACTTGCCATGTCTGGCATCCATTCCTGCTGGGTCGCTCAGAGCTCTCCAGCTATTGTTGTGGTGTCGCCTTGCTTCTGCAGGCTTTAGTCCTCAAACATTTTTCTCTTTCTGCCCTGCACAGAATCTCTTCTCTTACTGCCACGCTGCACATGCACAGCCGGAAAAAGACAAAAGGAAAGAGATCCCAACGTGGGCAAGGCCCACGTAAGAAAATCCAGAAGTCCAGCACAGGGCGAACCACCAAAACTCAGCGTCGGAGGCTGACTGGAAAAATGGGCCGTGACCAAGATTAACAGAGAAACTAATGTTCAGACCACCAGCTGGGACAGTGCTCCACATCTGGGCTGCTGCTCTTCAGGACCCTGTCATTGTGGGCAGGCATCTTGTTTACATGGCATTCTGACTGGCCACGAACCCAGTTCAGCCTTTCTATAGCCTTCTGAGCACTGGTCAAGGTGACTAGACACTCTACCCATTTATTTTTGCTGTGATCTCCAGTTAAGTGTCTGGGTGCCACAGAATCCCTTAAAAACTTCTGCTGAAGGTCATGCTCTCTATCTGGCATAAGCCTTCTGTCCTTGCTCCCCCCTCTTTCAGACTTAATACTTGTCTTTATCAAAGAAGAGGATTTGGGGCAGAGTGCAACAGGCACATTGTTGTCAGGGCAATTTGAGAGACTTGGGAGAGCTTTGCTTGCACTCCTGCATCAGTGCCCTGGCATTTGGGCTGTGCAGTAAATCCTTTTTCCATGGAGACATGGTGTCATCTTGTCTCCTGTGTTTCCTCACCACACAACACAGTGCCACACCTGAATGCAGGGGTACTTTTTGTTTGATACTTGTGCCAGGTGAAACTGGGTAACATTGCGAATAAATTTGAAGTCATTTTGCTAAGAAAAAAAAATAAAAAATATGTGACTTATTTGAAGCATAGCAGGGGCTGTGCTAACACCAGTACCAACTGGAAATAGTGGGAGGTAATTTCTGGAGTTTAAAGGATATTGAAATTCACTGGTGCTTGGAGAATGTAATAGCTAGGAGCTATTTCTGTGGCAAGGCAGAGCCAGCTAGAGCAGGAATGGCTCATTCCATTGTCTGCTGAATATGCCGATCGTAACTGCGATAGCTCAGGGGAGTATGAAATGCCCTAATGCCCTTGCTGTTTGTGTGTGGCCCTCTCTGGGGTGGGAGTGGCAGGGGCTGCCCTTGCCCTTTACCTCAGGGTTGCTGCAGTTATTAGTAGCTAATTGCCTTTCTTCTTAGGACCTCAGTGTATGTTTTTTACTGTGGTTGCCCTCAGCAGGGGGAGAAAAAAAAAATTTGTATGGTTGGAATTTAGGAATACTGGTGGCAAAACTGTGAGTGAATCCTCTGAGGAGGAGAGTGAGCCCAGGCAGCATGCTGGCCTCTGTCCTGGACTATCCTGGAGTATTCTTTCTCTGTGAGCCAGGCCTCCTCCCATGCCATGTGTGCACTGGAAAGGAAATGACAAAGAAAGAAAAAGCCTATGTGTCCAAAACCCACACCAGAAAAATTTGCAACCCAGCAATGGGCAAGTAAATAGATTCCTCATGCCAGAAATGGGAGGGAAGAGTAAAGCAGTGCCTGAGGCTGCATGGAGGAACATCAGAACAATGCTGATGGCCACCAGCCGCTAAAGTGAATGGCACCAGCTTGATGTATCTCTCCATCGTTACTTGTGGAGTGTGCACACAGAGCTGTTCTCCAGAGTGTGTTCAGGGGGAGGGTGTGATCTCAACACTGATAGCAGAAGCACAATTTCTGCTAGAGGGAGGGTTCTCGAGGGAACACACGTGCTTGTGGTAAGGAATGGGGCCTTCCTGCACTTCCCTTTCCTTTCTGAGGAAGGTAATTGATGGGGAGGTGGACACCGTTATCACTGCTGCCTTGTATGCTTGGATTCAGAGTCCCTACCCTGGGCTGAGTTCTTGGGCACTAACACAGAATAAATACAGTCACATTATTAAGGTGTGTGTGTGTATGGTTTTCTCACCTCCAAAATAGTTCTCAAACACTGCCTTAAAGGCCCCTCCAGAAAGGTCATGGGATTTAATGGGTGACCTTACCTATCCACCTGTCTCACCTGGGGTTCTTGGGTGTTTCAGAGCTGCAAAAACACAACTCAGGCAAGACCAAAAGTGTTATGCTGAACTGGATCTCAGCCAAAGTATCCAAGAGGTCCTATGTGTGATGTGTGGAGCATAAATTATTGCTTGTTCTGGTTTGGGAGTTAATGCTCTAGAGCATTCTGTGCTTGGTGGGTTTGAGAGGGATGAAGTGGGGAAGGAGAGGGAAGTTCTGTTTGGAGAGGTATGTCACACCAAGGGGACTGCAACTCAAAGCTGGAGGACAGGGTGACATCCTTGGTCTAGATCATACAGCAGCTTTTCCTTCTCTCCAGGACACAGTGCCTTGTGGGGTGACCGTGGACAGAAGGTGACCTGCCTGCTTCCTTACCCAAGGAGTTTGCTCTGGAGCTGGGATGGCCACTGTAAAAGAAGTGTACTATCTGTTTGAGAAATCTGCTGGAGAGTGGAGTGTGGAATATGGATCAGTTGGCTTCTCCAGCCTGTAGGCAGCCTGGCATGGTAGCTGGGACAGAGCTGGATGACCTAATTGTTCTCCGGATGAGGTGTTAAGGGTTCAGTTTTTATCATTTTGCTGCCAGGTGATCTGGAAGAATCTCACTTTTAAGTGTTTGCTGTTTCCCTGGCCTAATAACATTTTGTAGCCTTTCTCAAGTATCAGCTGAAGTCTCCAACAGCCCCTTCCATGCTCTGAAATCTTTCAGCTCCTGCTAGAAAATGAGTTTTCAAAATAAAAAAAAAAACAAAACAGAAACAAACCAAAGAAGTGTATGGAAAAACTGAGAACAGAACTGTTAAATCCTATACAGCATTAACCATCAGGATTGTTCACTACACTATTGATTTCTCCATTTGATTGATTAAAACTTTATTCTGTAATGTGAATTACTGACTCAGCCCTAGCCTGCTGGTTTTGTTATGCACGGGCTATACAGCCAGGCTACCCCTGAATATATTGAAATGAGGATATGAGTTTTCACACACAAGTTAGTGAGTGAAGTGTTTGCCAGACACATCACAGTTCATACCAGACTTTGGCTTAAAATTATTCTTTGCTGCTTCCTCTTGTTTTCAAGATGGATTTGAGCATTTTGGTGTTGGTTTTTTTTTTCTTTCCTTAGCTGCTCAAGAGAAGGCTGCTTTCAAATATAAGGTGCTTGCAAAATGTAAGGTACTTGCAAAAATCAAATGTGCTAGTGCACATTTATGGAGTTGCTGCTCCATAAAATAAAAGCAGAGACCAGCAGCTCCCTGTGAACCCCCTTTTCCACAGGCATTTCACGCGTGGCTCTGCAGCTAGGTCACCTCGGGCACCTGCACATTGCTGTGCACGTGCCCCAGGCTCGCACAGAGATGCAGGGCTTTGACATGGGCTGCCACACTGGGGTTGCCATGCATGATGGCTTTCACTGGCTAGACTGCGATTCTGCACACATGCACACACAAAAATCTAATTGGGATTACAAAGGATCAAAAGCAGACTGGGGGCCAAAAAGATCAGACAGCTGGGGGAAAACTGGAGTGCAGCAAAGAGGAGGAATGGCTGCAGCGTGTGCATGAGCTGTGTGATAATCGGTGCACTGTAGTTACTACTCCTGTAGTGTATCAAGCTCAAGGCTGTACTCAGTACAGTCACACTGCTGCTTCCAGCACTGTGTTCCAGAAATGAACTCGAGAAAAAAAGTTACTGGGACAGTGATGAGAACTTTCGGGGACTAAAAGGCAGCTGAATAATGGGATGTGCGGGGTAGGTTTGAGGAGTGGATTGCAGACTGCACTTAATGACTAAACAAAAAGTAAAACTGAGTTTTTTGTAACTGTCACCAGCATCGGGAAGAGAAGGAGTTTGAATTGTAGAAGGAGCAGTGGAGGACAGATACTAGAAATAGGGAGGGTCAGGCAGGGTTCGTGCTTGATAGGTAAAGCCCACGATGGACAAACCTCTGAGTGCTGTGGGCAAGCATGACCCCCTGTTGGATCTGTGCTGGGACACGGCGTCTTTCCGCTCTCTCAGTGCTCGCGGGTAAGTCCGCTGCTTTGGCATCTGTTTTGGCTTCGGGATAGCTCGGTCTTGTGGCGCTGGCTCGGGGGCACAGGGGGCAGGCAGTGAGGCGGTGCCTGGGGAGCGGGAAGGGAGAGGAGGGGAGGGGAGGGGAGGGGAGA